TAAAATAAAATAAAATAAAATAAAATAAAATAAAATAAAATAAAATAAAATAAATCCTAGAATTCCTGATGAAGAGTAATGGAAAATCAGCTTCGTTTGAGAGGACTTTTTTTTTATCCCATCAAGTTCTCATAGAATCCCAAGGTTCTGTGGAACATAGTTTGAAAAACCCTAATGTAAATAGCTGAAACCCACCTAGTCAGATAATAGGAAAACTGTTAAAAAGAAATTAACCAAGGCAGAATTGGTGGCACTAAGGGCCATTAGGGAGGTCAGCTTAGACCTAGACAAAGTCTCATTTGATGGCTAGGCCCAGGGCCTCATAGATAAATTCTTCTTCCTTCTGGACAAGGCTATCATGACCTTTCCCAAGAAGCTGGTTTTCCCTCATCTCCCATGGTGTGTGAATGTGGAGACAATTGCTTAGAAGGGAAAAAGAGGAATAGGAAAAAATGGAGTAAGAAGGGACCAGAAAGGCTTACTCACAGGCATTCAAGCTGGAGGCCCAGATAATTTATTCAAGGAGTTAATGGGTGATTAGATGAGCTAGAATGGCTATTTTGTGTGTGTGTGTGTGTGTGTGTGTGAGAGAGAGAGAGAGAGAGAGAGAGAGAGAGAGAGGCCTTTCCTGGTTTTCCTATCATTTTTAATTTCATTTCATCCCCACCATTTCAATTCCATACGCTTGCATGGCTACATAGCTACCTCTTGTGTTCCAGTAACATAATTTCTCAGTACAGTGTTCCCCACATATGAGGCAGAATAGTTATATAGCTACCTCTTCAGTTTCAGAATCATCACAGTGTTTCTGAACTTTGCAGAAAGATCTCAAGTACCTTCCTTTCTATTTTCCCAGAGCTGGGATGAAGGAAAAAATCCTGGGTGGAATTCCCCAGGTAGATAAACAAGTTGGTTTCAGGGAGTGCAGCCTGACTGAAGGCAGTCTGTGATAATTCTCTTTTATGGGGGAATCCTGGGAAGAAGGATTCTGACAGAAAGGTGTAAACTCTCTTCTCCTGACCTGGATTGTAACCACATGGCCAACCATTAAAAGCTTTCTCTGGGCTATTTAAGCAGAACAAAGCAAGGCAAGAACTTCCTGACATAGGTGTTGAAAACTACACACTGTGTATAGTCTTCCTCCTCCTGTTCCATGTAGTTCCACCAGGCTGAAGCCTGTGGTCTGCATTAGTCATGAAAAGAGTTGAGCATGAGGAGGCATTATTTGCAGTTCATGGTGCCCTAGACTGGAAATGTTGGGCACTATTCAGTATCTGTTCCCTTGGAGCCCTATGACAAGCGTTTATCTCCATCTTCAGATTCCCACACCCCCAAGAGTGGTTTCAAAGTTGAGCTGCTAGTGCAAGAGTATAGGTTTGCAGCTTCCCCATGGAGGAAAAAAAGTAGTCCTTGCACTGCACTTAGATGTAAGCGCATACCAAATTAAAAGATTCAATATTAAATAGGGTAGATGCAAAGCATGGGAAGCCTAACCACAAAACAGCGCCCTACATATAAATGCATTCTTGCATGAGATTTTGATTCCAACCAAAAGGACGGTTTTCATATTTCAACCTGTGGGATGCAATGTTGCACACAGGATCCATCGAAGACTTAGTTGGTGCTTTGTGCAAGCGTGGAATCATTGCCTGCTGAATACAGATGGATGGAGATTGGCAGAAAAAGGAAAGAAGGAAAAGGAAAAGAAAGTAATTTTCCACAGGCCCAAGCAGCCACTCCCTTGCATGTGAGGAACAATCTTGGCAAATACAGTAAGAAAGGCAAACCTTTAGTTAACTACAGTTCCCATAACCTCTCCCCACTTCCACATTGGCCAAGGCCTCTATGAGATTTGGGTCACAGATTCTTGTTCGGTGAGTTCCAACTATCTTTGCATTTGTTTATGTGGAAATCAGAGGCGAAAAGGGTCTTTTTCTTGCCTAAGAACTGCATTCACTTGAGGGACAGACAGTTTTTCCTGCTGCCTGCCTTCTGCCTTTTGCTACACCCTTTCTCTGCAATTCCCTGTCCCCCATCTCTCTCCCTGCCAGCAAGACATTTTCCATTTCCTACTGCCAATCCCTGTCCTGTCCCTATTATGTCTGCATGCCACTTAGGATACCAAAGACACTGATTTACTCCTCTGGCTTTGTGGTCCTCCCTCTTCAACACATCATCAACTGGCAGAGGAACCATTCACTAATCCGCTCTTCAGCAGGGATGGAGTATGGCATGGTGTGATGCTTGCATTATTTTACCTGCTTTGTGTGCCCCAATTCTTGCAGCCCATTTGGTCACACCTTGAATAAAATGCGAAAAAGAATCACAAAGAAAGCTATGTACTAGCAGCGTGGGAAAGCACTTTTTTTTAAAAAAAAAAAATTCTCCCCCTTTCATTTCTCTTTTACAGTGTTTCAGCCTTGCACAAAGCAGGAAAGACCATTAAAGGGAGCCAGAGCAGTCCAGCACCATTGCACTAAACCCCTGACGTAGCAGCAACTCCTGCTCCAACCTGTTCCTTACATTTAAATACAGGCAGTCCTCAGGTTACGCAAGATGCGACTCATTAATTTGACTATAACAAGGAGTGCAAAAGATGGCAGCGACCACATTTGTGCATGCGGAAAAAAGCCGGTCACCATTTTGCATACAGGGTGTGGTGACTGCTACACAACAGTGATAATTGTGTTACAAGAGTGACGACTGTGCTACACAGAAGTTGACTTGTGAAAGGGGTCCAGGAATGGAGTGGTACTATAAACTGGGACTGTCTGTAGTAACTAGAAGTCTCCATCATGTGGAGTTGAATCCTGGTGATTTGCTTGGCAATGATACCTCCCCCCCGCACAATAATATTTTTTTAAACATTTTGCATGTCAAACTGTATCTCTGCTCTTTTGGGAGAGGATTGCAGAATGGTGATAGAGGAGGCTGACTGGGAAGCAGAAGAGAGGAGACCTGCTTGCACCAGTGTGAAACACCAAACAAACACCTCTGATCACACCCACTACTAGTTCACCTCTACACCTAACAGACTTAACCCCGCCTTGAGATGATGTCCTTGGATGATATCCTGGTAAGCAGGAAAAATGCTATCGTACTTTATTATTGTTACAGCTAACAATGACCTAAGGCAATCTGAGTCATATCCTGGGGGCAAGATGAAGGCAATATTGTTGGGGAAAATCAGTGTTGCCAGGATATGATTGTGCTATGGCTGGGTACAAGTAGGAGCAGGGCCTTTGTCTGCAAGTTGTCATGGTAAATGAGTGATGAAGGCAGTTGGGAAAAAGAACAATTCTGCAAGAAAACTAGCACTGACTTACTAGGGTTTGAATTTTCAGCTGTACACTTCCCAGATTATTAATACTTGTATCCCTGTTAAGTTTCTAAATCAAACCAATCTCATCAAAGCCAAATGACGGAATATGATTAAACTTTCTAGCTTTTCTTACTGCACCTTTCCCCAATTTGATGTCCTCCAGTTGCCTTAATTTCCAGCCAGCCTGACTGGGGATTATGGGAGTTGGTCTATCTCACTGGGGGAATAGGAAAAAGTTACCTTGCAGGACCTTCCATGCAATTTTTAAAGGCTTGCTAGATTTCTGCCCTCTGAGCAGTGGTGCCTTCTTTCTTATGGTACCATACAGAATTCCTGCCTTGAGCGACAAAAGTATGCCGTGATGAGACAACAGCATCCTTTTCTAAAAATGAACTGATTTCCTGTGGAGCAGATGGGGTAAAGAAGACTTGGACATCTTTCTTTCCCAGCTACTAGCAGCTGGCCTGTTTTCCAAAAACAGAATCACAGCAAGGCCTTTTGTTTTCTGTTGGTCCCAGCCATTAATCCTGAAGTGTGTGAAGGATTTCAATTTCTGTCCTTCCCCCTGCCCCGCCTGGAAAAGTACCTGGGTACTTCCACTGAGTTCCACTGTACTTCTGCCTATGTAATTGCTCAATAGAGACAAATATATTCCAGTCCTGAGGCAAATGTTCAGTGATTTGTTTCTGAAAGTGTTTCTTGGCACCAAAACAGACAGCTGTATAATCGTGCCCAAGTTACACTGATCCAGAAGTACGTACCCAGACTCTAAGGCTCCAAAACGTACTGGGAGTAAGCCCCACTGAACAGCATGGGACTGGTTTCCCAGGAGGCACAGCTAAGACTGTCCTGGAGGACTAGCACAGCCTTCCCTAACTTGGTACCCTCCAAATATGTCAACTAACTCCCAGAATGGCTGTTGCTGGCTAAGGAATTTTGGGAGTTGAAGTCCACACATCTGGAGGATACCTAAATTGGGGAGGGCTGTTCTAGCAATTCTAATTTAAAGGCATTGTGCAGCTTGTCCATTCTTGGTCCGTAATAGATTGTAGAAGAAAAGCAGAGAGAGAAATCGGGGAAACATACAACTTTGAGGCTTCTTGGTGGTCTCCCATCCCAACACTTACCAGGCCTGACTGTTTAGCTTTGAGCCCAGACAAGGTTGGTTGGGTTCTACTACCTGCAGAGACATAATAGTGAGCATTATATTCTCCAAGGAATCAACAATGCACATTTATTTATAATAAATACATTTTATTTATTATAGAATTTCTGCCCTACTTTTTTATTATCAAAAACCATATCAAATCAGGATATAATTCATTAAAAACAGGAAGTTCCAAATAATTACAGAGGATACTAGTTTGGTAAAATTCTAAAAAGCATGTTGAAAACTTTAACAAAACTTTCAAAAGAGAGTCAGTAGTCCCAGACCAGAAAAATGCAATACCAATAATTAAAAACCTGGGTGAACGTATATAGACTACGGTATATTTGTCCACTGCTTCTGAACACACACAGACACACACATGTATGTTAAGCTTATTCATCCCCCGCTCATTTATTTATACCCAGTTGGAGGAGCCCCAGATTGTGCCCCGTTTGTTGGAACAACTTCAGGGAGACATGCCTGCTAGCGAGCAAGGGGCATTGTTCCAAAGTCTTCCCTGAGAAACTCTACAAGCAGGAGCTTGCTGAGCCTGAAGTGGAAAGGATCAAAACGAAGGAGCCATTGTGGCTAGGCCTGCGAGAAAGAGGCAGACAAGAAGTGGTGAGAAGCAGCCAGGAGCCACCGTGTGAATTTTCTGCCCAAGGTTTGCAGGGCTGGCAGACTCTCTGGCAGCTTGGTTTGCTCAAGCAAGGAACCAGTGGCTTAACTTTCTCTGTCTAAAAGTCTTTTCTCATGATTTTGCATCACAGACTCACTGGGAGCGGCAGGGAGGCCCTGCCTTTTTACTGGCAGGCTCCTCTTCAGATCCCATAGTGTAGGGGTGGGGAACCTGGGGGGCCTTCTTGTGTGGGTGAACTACAGCCTCAGCAAATCTAGCCAGCATGGACAGTGGTGAGGGATGCTGGGAGTCGTAGTTCAGTCACACACTGCCTTTGGCAGATAGAACCAAGGAGTAACTGCCTAAATTTAGGGAACACACCTAGACCAAGCAAAGTTGTGCTTCCATGTCCCTTTGGGAATTCACTTGCTAATTGCTGGTTATTTTACCTATGAAATAAATGTTAAGGAAAACGGAATGAAGAGGAGCAGCTGTTGAAAGTCCAAGTGGGAGACTGTCACATCTCCCAGTTCCAAAATGGATGAGAGCTGCTTTAATTTTTGTCCCTTAAATTTCCCAGTTTCTTCTGCTCTGTCGAGAAACAAATGAAAAAAGCAAACAAGTTCAAGCACCAAATAAAACTATATAGTGAATTTTACTGTATATGGACCAGCTAGAATCGAGGAAACAGTTCTGGGAGAGGAAGAATCAAAATGGCAGCTGGACTGTTTGTCCAAGGGCCACACCCTAAATTTGCCTTTGACCATGTTGGTTGAGGCTACAGGAGTTGAAGTTTGGGTGGGTTGACACAAACCGTATGGAAAAAAGACTGGGCTTGTTCCTGTGATTCATGGGCTTCCTTCTAGATTATCAGTATATTCAGCCTCAATAACCCTGGAAAAAAAAACTCCATTCTTTAGTCATCACAACAAGGACTTAAGAATAATATTATGTCAACGTTATTCATAAGGTAATCATTAATTATAAATACAACTCATTTGAGTAATTCCTTTGGTGAATTTAGGAAAGTACCAGATGGGAAGGATTTTGCTGCTATAACAGCTGTTTTGCAAATGCTTCATGTTGATATAATTTTCTACCTTCATGGATCTCTTTTGGATAAACTGTAATGCTCAACTAGCTTCTAGAGCAGTGTTTCTCAACCGTGGCAACTTAAAGAAGTGTGGACTTCAACTCCCAGAATTCCCCAGCCAGCATGCTGGCTGAGGAATTCTGGGAGTTGACATGTTCAAGCCGCCAAGGTTGAGATACAGTGTTCTAGACTCTGGACAAGGTTGTAGGAAAATGGCACAATGAGAAAAAAAATCATTCACTGAATCAGAAGGTTTCTTCCCAAATAGGCTACCTGGAAATTTTGGATTTCAATTTCCATAGTCCCCTGGCTGCAGATTATAGGAATTGGTCCAGCACATCTACTAGATGCTAGGTTGGGAAAGGCTGGAAAAGCAGATAAAAGTGCGTGGCTTATTCTGATCAGTAGGTGTCACTATATCTACACCAACAGTCAAGATTGTCTTCTAGTGGCCAGGAGCTTAGGCCCAAAGAACAATTTGTTAGCAGATTTGGGAGAAATGGAGGGCTCACTCATGCACTTCCTACAACTTAATGACTCAGTATTCACTCACAGCTGAACATGCATGAACAGATTCCACTGAATTTAGTGTGACTAAATTTGTTCTGAAAACGTATTGCATATATATGTCACTGTTGACTGGATAAGGGATGAATCAGTGAAGAAAGCTGTAGTATTTCTAGCCTCTACAATCTAGTCTCACATTCTCATCACATGACTGCTTTAACTTATCTTGTATAAATAACACAAGGTATCTAAACATGTTAAAAGATATTGATTCATACAATTGCTCAGAGGGCACAGTAGAGGAAACAAATAGTTAAATCATAGCTCACTGATCTCTTTGAAGAACTGATAGCTTTAACTGATACCAAAGATTTACAGGTCAGAGGACCAGAAAAAGTTTTTAGGTTTATTCTTCTTCCTGAAGAAAGTTTGCTACAGAGGAGTTACACAAACACTGTAAGTACAGGCACCCTTAGTGGCAGTCATTAGTCTGGTTAAATTGTTGTGGTTTTGATATGGGCAATAACCTCTCAGAGCAAAACATAGCTTTAGAATCAACTAGAGTAGGAAGCAAGCCTCTCCAGAGCTCTCCAAGTCTAACAGACTAAAAAAATTATCTTTAGGGCTCCCCCAGAGCCATCAGTGGCTGTAGGTCCCTGAAATCTTGCTGGATATCTGTGCACAAAGGTACATCAGTTTCTGTGTCCTCAAAGCTGTTATTGTTGGTCGTGCAGTCAGCCAGATGTTTAGACTGGATTTAGCATTTTTATCTACCTATCGAGTAGGTAGAGATAGGCAGATGTTGTTTGATGGTGTTAAAGGTATTGTTGCAGGATGTAAGCTCCTCCAAGTAAAGCTGCCTTTTGCAATTGACTGAGGGCGATTTTGTCAATGCCGATGGTCTTCAAGTGGTGCTCCAGATGTTTTCGGATTGCACCTAAAGTGCCTATAACTGTTGGTACTATCTTTGCTTTCTTTTGCCACAGTCGTTCTACTTCTATAGACAGCATGAAATATGCCAGCATACTTTTCTGCCACCTCAAGGACTGAAGGAGAGCATTTTCACATGGCCAAT